ATCCCAGAGGGCATCTTGAGGATGAACATTGCAATGTATTTGTAAAATACTTACGCACAGCTTCCTGAGAGAGTAAACCTTCAATATAAAAGGTATGGCTGTAGGTGTATGACTGTGTGTTTTTGCTTGTATGTAATGATTGTTTATGTGGATATCTGGAATACAGCCCAAGACAAATTACAGAACGGTCAAATACTGATGAGTTAACTATTTTTAATCAATTCATTTATTCACTTTATATGAGATATTTGATATATCTTACATACTAGTTTCTAGTTTCATTTTTAAAAATTTTTTAATAAATGTATTAGAAAGACGGAAGGACCCCAGGCATGGTGATGCACACATGTAATCCTACCACTCAGGAGGCTGAAGCAGGAGGTTCTTGAGTTCAAGGCCAGTCTGTTCTACCTAGTGAGACCTGTCTCATAAAGCCAAAACAATGCAAAATAACAACAAAAAAAGGCCTGAGGGAACATCACATAAGAAAATAAATACAAAATCCCAAACCCTAGCAGACACACAGTGACACAGCATTCCTCCTGTCATGGACAGACCCCTGACATCCTCACCAAAGCCATGACTGTCTCCACAGTCTCCATCTCCTGCCCAAAGCACAAAACTGCATTTCTACAAGGCAGCTTTGAACTGGGGCGGGGGGAAGGGAAGGGAGGGCAGAGGGGGAGGCAGGAGGAAACCCCAAGTCATTTCTTACCAACATTTGCATTATGGTTTTCTGTCAACCTCACAGCCTGAAGCCCTTCCTCCCTACCTGGACAGTCAGATTGCTTCTGGTACTGAGGACCTTCCTCTCAGCATCCTGGAAGGCCTTCTGTAGCCTCTGCTCCATTGTCTGGGCAAATTTGCAGGACTGTATGTTGTCTGATTGGCTCACAAACTGCAGTACTAGAATAAGAATTATAAATCAGTGCGCCAAAGCTCTATGTCTTAGTTCCTTGGATTTAATAGCAGTCATGATACAAAAACAGCATGATTTTAGGTTAGAGAAATTCCATCAATAAACAATAAGACAAGACATGTTTGATTATAGTTTTGAAAGTGGCTCCTACAACAATTTATAACAAAGAAAACTCCAAAGCATGATTGAATTTGAGATTCCTCTAACGCAAAGGATATTATGGCTTTATCCAATTGGGATATGTAGACACCAGCTCAAAGATGGACAAATAAGGACCCATAAGAAATCATGCGTTCTATTTCTTGAAGGGGAAGAGTCAATTGACCTTCATTACTAAGTTGACAGTTTCCATCTCAGTGTTTTCTCCACTCTTGTGATTTACAAACTTTGCAAATCAGAAACTGGAAAGAAAAGATTCCAAGGCCTAAGCTCAGAGATTCTGATTCTGTGACATCTGGAACCTACTGGCCCCAACCTATAGATTTTATGGATGCTCAACTCATTAGTATTCATTGATTAGACAGGAAAAAAATACAGAGCTCAGAGCTATCTATTAATTGTATAGATTGGGAAGAAAAGTTCTAAAGAAAAAAACAGTTCTGATAAATTCAGAGTTCAGAAATCGCAAGCTAATGAGCAGGGGGTTTGGACATTTGATTAGTAGGCTCTTTGAAAAAGGTACACAGGGACTTTCAAAGACAACAGAGCGGGCATTCACTTGGTATGGTCCCCTGCCCTAGAATGCACAGGAATCCTTTCCTTCTGCATTACTTGCCTGTTTTCAGCTGGAAGTAGCCTGCAGGCTGGGGCTTCCAGGGGGAGGCAAGGACAGCCACAGACTGTAAGTTTGGGGTGTGTTGCTTGAGATCGGCAGTGACGTTGCTGATTCCATAGACACCCAGCACTTCCATCACGACAGCAGGCAAGTATACCAATCTCCCTTTAGTAGCATAATAACCAACTGTGACGTTATGAGAATGTTCCAGAATGTCCACCTACAAAACAAATGGACCCCAGAACTCATTGTTGATTTCCATAGTACTTAAAGTTCTCCTTAGTATTGTAAGAGTCCCAACTGTTACTTTGCAAGCCTGGGGAATGGGATGTTCTGATTTGACAAATTTTCTGACAATTCTGTAAAGCATAGTGGGATTGGGAAAATACAAAGTATCACAATACAACAAAATAAAATTTACATCAAATCTACATGAGGTAGAATTCAATCCTTGTTTTTGGATTCATGAAGTACTTCAATGTAATCCTGTGAACACTAATTAGCACCAAAAAGGCAGAGAGGAGACAGCAGGCAGAGAGATTTCCAGCAAATGGAGTGCTGCTAAAAACAGCTTTGTGATATTTCACTTATGAGAATATTTCATTTCTGAGAATTAAGAAGCAGAAATGATAAATTAAGTGGGGCATCTTCCAAGGATGCATCAAAAGTAAATAAAGTGAATTCCTTTCTCTCAAAGCAGAGAAAAGAGTCATTCAGACTTGGCTCCATCCTTGGCTCACACACTCATTCAAGGCCAAGGCGAGGATGAACCAAAAAAAGCTTCTCTCCCAGCCGAGTCCTAGGAGATGTCCATGACCTGAGCTCTTTCTGTCCCAATGAAAAGATTGTGAGGCTTTAGTATTGGTTATTTTATTTGTGCTTTCTTAGTGTTGTATATTAGAAATTCCAAGTGTTTATTTTTTTAATATATTAAATGTAGTGATTATGGAATTAACATTTTTGAAAAAAACAGAGAAAAGAATAACAATTGCTTCTAATACTACACTACCACCACAATACAATTACACAATAATTTCTAAGTGTATTTTCACCAAGAATACATACTTCATATAGATGCATATAAATACATACATATATACATACGTGTGTTTGCATGCACTGAAGATATTACTTTGTCTCCTTTTCTTTCTTTCTTTTTTTTTTTCTTTTCTTTGCAGAGCTGGAGATGAAACCCAGGGCCTTGAGCAGGCTGGGTAAGTGCTCTACTGTTGAACTATCCTCCAGCCTCCCAATTTTTTTGTCATGAGATACACATCACATACCATCTACCATCCTACCCATCTTTAAGTGCACTATTCAATGGTGTTAAATTTACACATCACGGGTACCACCAGTGCTACCACCATTTCCAGGACTCTTCATCTTTAAAACTGGGCCTCTGTGTCAGAGTATTTAGAAGCTCTGCTTTGCCTTTGTTCTTGCATCTCTATTACAAGTGCCGCATGTGGCTGGGAGTACAGCCCAGAGGTAAAGCATTTGAATAGCATGTGTGAAGCCCAGAACCACGAGTATTTTCCAAAGAAACCAAGAAAAGTGATTTTGTAACAGAACGGGTGGCTCTGACTCCTCCACAGTGTGTACTCCATTGGTTTTTTTCCTAAGATGGTGTAAAAGATGACTGTAGGTGGAAATTGAGTTTCAGGGTGAACCATAGACACAGCCCCAAATGATGCCAACTTTAATCGCCTCAAAGAGCCAATTGCAGTTGCTTTTAACACTCCTCTAACTCTTGCCAGCTTTTTTTTTTTTTGAAAAAACAAAACAACAAATGAACAAACAAAATAACATAGGGATATGAGGCTCAGGCTTTGAGCCTTTTACAGCAACAAAATCTACCTTGACTTCAACAAGCCGTTTGGTGTCCATTATTCTTATCTTTACCACTACCTTTATGTATGGCAAATGATCTTGATTTCCCTTTATGGTGAATAAGTCACAATGGTGGTAGGATTAAATATCAAAAGAAATGCATTTAAGTTTTGACAGTGAGCTGATTTAAAAAAAAAAAAAAGAATGCTGGGACAGGCATGGTGTACACACCTAGAAACCCTTCTACTTGGGAGGCAGAGTAGGAGGATTGTGGTCTGAGGCTAGCTCTGGCAGAAAGAATGAGATCCTGCCTGAAAAACAAACTAAAACAAAGACGACTGGGAGTGTAGCTCAAGTGGTAGAGTGCCTGCCTAAGCTCAAGGCCCTGAGTTCAATGCTCAGTACTGCTCCCCGCCAAAAAAGAATTCTAATTGTTGCAGTGGCCTGTGGTGACATGCAGGTAGTCAGAAATGACGAGTTTGGTGAAAACTATCTCAGGCAACTAAATGGGAACATTTACATGTTCAACTTTCAATTGAAAAATTTTAAAGTTTCTGGTTTAGAAACCATTGAAGCCCCTCATGGAAAGCATTTTTTTCCTCTTCTTCATTTTTCTTTCCTTCCTTCCTTCTTCTTTCCTCCTTTCTTTTCCTTTTTTCTTTTTTTTAGAATTATAGAAGAGAGATTGACAGTAACTGATAAACTATGTGCCAAATCTCATTCCTAGTACTTGGTGTGGTGGGTGGGGAAGGAACCACAGAGCTGAATGCAGCTGTCAAACAGGACATCAAAGGAAGAAGCCAGAACCATATTTGTAAGTTGTGCAAAAGGGAGTCCACTGAGTGCCAATCGCATTTACTGGTTTAACACTTGGAATCAAACCAAAAGATGCAGAACAAAGCTTCCATCACTCAGATGTGCCACTGAACTCAGCCAGCAGTTGTTTAACAGTACTTGGCGATAAAGTGTTTGAAGAAAAAAAAAATGTTTATTTCCCTGTCTGCTGCTGGCAACTTAAGGAAAGTTGGACTGGATTTACAAGTTAGAGTGATTTTTAAATGTTCAGAAATAAATCGCTCCTTACAATGGTGCAGAAGATAAAGTAAAAAGCAAAGAATGCCTTCTAGAGAATTACGTGGACAATATTAAATACTTTCCCCAAACAATGGGATAATGGGCTGGTTTAATGCAGCACATCCAAGCTTAAAAAAAAAAATAGGCATAAGGCAATTAGCCTCCATTTTCCATCTCAAAATGTGACCTTTTTATCCAGTCACAACATATGAGCTATTTGCCAAAATGATGAAGGATTCCACTTCTGGCAAGGGGAGGTATGGTACCTGGGAGGAAGGAAAACAATCCATACATGACAGACCGGGAGATGTGGCTGGGTTGGCCTGGTTACAACGCAAAGCTTACGTGAGCTGAGATATCGTTCTGGTGGAAAGCCTTCCGCAAAGCCTGGGTGAGGCCTTTGGCCACATTGAACTTCAAGGCTTCGCTGCTATGCACTCTTCTCTGCGTTAGAAAGAGAACTGTGGGGCAAAACAGAAGAGTGAGGTACAAACTTCATCACGAACAAGCCTCCCTCTCCTCCCAGCCACCATCTCCAGCAAATTCTGAGCACAGCTGATAAACAAAAGGCCACCAATGAGGGGATGAGAGATAGTGACTGATGTCCTACTAAAGTCAGAAGGAAAGAAGGCCTGACCCATTTGTGTAGCCCTAATGGACAAACAGCTGGTATGCTGGTGGCTGTTCACTTCTTACTGGTGGAGCCTCTGTCCCTGAGAGCTGGGTTCTGAAGTACCTGCCCTGTGTGGGTCTGTGTGCCATCAACTTCCTGCAACAGCACCCACTGACAGCCTGCCTAGGTGCAGGTGCTTGGCTGGGTGTTGTAGGCTCAAACAACCCTGAATTTGGAAGGGGTAGGCCCACTTCACAAGAGGACAGAGAGTTGACCTCTGTGATTGAATGTGACAGGTACTAATGGAAGGGAAGCCCAGGATGCTGTCAGAGCTTCTAAAAGGAGCATCCAGCCTGGCACTGGGCAAGGGGCTGGAGACTACGGAAGGTTTCTATGGGAAATGTTGCTTTGGCTATGTTCTAGAAAATAAGAGTGAGGTAGACAAGGGTAAGGGATTGCTTCTTTCCACTCCCAGTGGAGGGAATGCCAAGCACAAAGAAGCAAGGGAGAGAAGTGAAAAATGTCAGTGCACAGGTTTAGGTGTGGTCCTGAGAGCAATGGAAAGTGGAGAGTTTTAAGCAAAGGAATGCATTTTAAAAGGTTCCATTGGCTGCAGACTAGAGAACAGATTGAGGAGGTCTGAAGGCAGAGAGATAAATGTGGCTAGAGTTGCAGAAATGTAAGTGAGTGATGATGACAGCATGATGTCACTAGGGAAGTGGCAGTGTGGAGCATCTGGGAGGGAGAACTGAAAGGAACTGTGGCTGGGGTCAGGGAAAGTGAAGAAAGAGGGTAGGAGGCTTCTGCATGGAGCAGGGCTGGGCTGGGCTGTCTGCCCCTCAAAAGAGAAGGCATGGATCTGGAGAGATGGAGGGGAGCAAAAACCAGATAGTATAATTTCTTGAGAAACAGAAAGAGATACTATACTTGCTGCTATGCCTAGTTTCACAATTTCCCATTTTAGAACAGGATATGTCTCAAGATATAATTTCATTTAATTCTTTGTGGGGTGAGGAGGAAGGCGGGATGTGAGCATTCCACACTGGCATGCTCTTTCAGATAATCTGTCTAATGCTTTTTATAGCAAACACTACCATACTATTAAAAGCACACTGTGTGTCTGAGGCCTGCTTTGTGGCAACTGGAGAGGAGGGTGAAGGTGGTGTCCTCACTCTGTTCATGGTTCTAGTGCTCCCTGCCCAGCTTTTTTTGAGAAACTCTCCTTTTTAACACCCAAAGAAATCCTGGGCTCCCACCTTTACTGTACACAGCTGTACTCTTGGTATCTGCTAATTAAGAAAACAGATAGCACTTCCCAAAACTTCATATGAAATTGAGCCTTGTCATATGAGATGCCTCTGATGCTCTCTACAGACAAACACAGTGTGCACTGGCAATCAGACCCACTGGAGGAAACATGGTTTCCCAGGAGACTCCGATGTCAGCACCGGTCCTAGAACTAAAATACACGTCACCTTACGCTTCTCCTCTCCTCTGACACTTGATGAAGTTTAAGGTTTTTCAACTTTGGCATACTGACTTTTTGGGCTGGGCTGTCCATGCATCGTGGGATTAGCAGAATCCCAGGGACCTATCCCACTAGGTTCCAGTAGTTCTTCCCTCAAGTGTGACAATCGAACTGTCTGCAGATATGGCCAAATGTTCCCTAGGGAGGGAGGATAAGATCACCCTTGGCTGAAAATCACTGACCCCCAAAAAAATAATTGTCGTGTTTCTAAAGCCCAGCCTTACTGCTCTCAAGTCCAGTCAGGACAGTGGCCTCTCACCTGTCTTCACCAGGAGCTTATGAGACATCTGACACTCCAGGTTGGATGCCATTTTTCCAGTTGTGACCATTGCAGTTGACGCAGCAAGAAAAGCAGCATCTGTGTTTTCTGCCTGCAAAGGTGGCAGCCGGGTGGCCTTCACTGATGCTGAAATGGATGTCAACGTTGCTGTGATTGTTAGTGGGCGAGGGGTGGACACTTTGGGTGCCTCTGGCTTAGTGGGGTTTGGGATGCCTGTGTGCATGGCTTCTGGTTTCCTGGGGAGGTGTGTTGTGGACAACAGGCCAGAGGCAGTGCCTGTGTTCCCTTGCATGGCTGTATGTGTGCTCATGGTGTGTGCTGTCCTGGCAAACATGTAGGTTGGTGTGAATGAGAAGGCTGTATGGACTCCCCCTGCTGTTGCCTTTAGGCCAGATGCTGTCTTGGTGACATTTTTAGCTACAGCAGTGGTCAAACTGTTGCTGCCAGTGCCCTTAGCTACCAGGGCCGCCGTCAGCGCCGCAGGACTTGCTCTCCTCAGAAACAACATGGTGGCTGCCACCGCTGCCGTAGGTTCTACCTTGGATGACACTGAAGAAGAGTCCACTGCAAAGAGAGAAGAGACAAAGTTTGTCATTGGCCTGGAATACACACATCTCTTGTCCTGATGAAGAATGGATGTAACTAAATGGGTTTGCTAGGGTGAGAAGTCTCTGCACTTTGGGATTGCAGTGGGGAGAACTCGGGCAAAACAACCTTAGGCTCATTAAGTCAATTAGCCATAATGAGAATGCACTTAAAGCAATGCCATAATTGATAATAAGAATACAAATTCTGAAGACTTTCCAAAACTCAGGTGCCTATTTGGGGCTGCTAATTCACTACTGAGAGGGGGTGGGGTGCGCCTTCAGAGCAAAGCTGGGTATCTCTGTTGAGCTTGAAGATGCTCTGGCCACAAAAGCGATCATACCTGTTTTCTGGGTACCAGGAAACAAACTACCTGCATGAGTGGCTGCACCTGTCCATTTCTTGGGGTGCTGAGAAGTTGGTAGCACTTTGGAGGGGGTCCTGGGAAAGGCATTGGTTGATATAGAAGGTGATTCAGCAGCTGAGTGGTATCTCAGGACATGCTGGAATGGTAGAGAAGCATTTGTCCCAGGCAATGGATAGATGTTACTGGAAATTTCAGAACTTGTATCTGTTCCATCTGAAAGCATCTCCTGCATGCTAGCTGTGGAAGTCAGACTTGGCCAGGCCAGCCAAAGAGAATGAGCTGCCTGGGCTGGCTGGGCAGGCAGCTGGAGACGGGAATGTGACACAGAATGCTGACTTGTGGATGGGTAATATTCAATCTTCACTGTTTGATAGTCTCTGGAATGGCTGTTATGGCCTGTGGGCCAGAGGTCTGTGTGGCTTCCAACTGGGGTCACATCTAACTGTCGTACAGGCTGGCTGGTGCTTGGATCGAGGACTAGATCCTGAATGTTAGAGCCTCCTGTAGTCACTGACTGCCCAGCAGTCTCTTTGAAATATTGAGATTTTATTGCATTGGCAGTTGAAATTAAACCACTGGGCAGAGTAGTTGCAGCTGAATGAGTTTCCCAACTTGCAGAGTTAATTGTGTGACCGCTTAAATCATAATTTGTATGCTGCTGCAAGCCAGCTATTGTCGATTTTATGGAAAGGGATCCAGTGTCTGCTGAAAAAGAACCCCAGGAAACAGCTGTGGTTGCTGGCTTTTTCATGTCTCCCATTGTTGAGAAATCATAGGCATCGGTGGAGGATGAAAATGGTGTCACCTGTTTGGAAGCTGAAGCTGGCAGTTCAGACTGACCCCCAGCAGCTGTGGCAGTCTCCAGACCAGTGCTAGAAGAACCATGAGATGGGGACACCCTCTGCGTGGTGTGTATGGTGGGCATGGAAGGTGGAGGAGATCCTGAAGGAAGGAGGATTGGGCTTGGTGTTGTAAAGACGGGAGATGAAATACGACCAGTGCTGAGGTCAAAGGTGAATCCATGTATGATGCGAAGACTAGAAACTTCTTTACTTGGAAGGACCTGGAAAGGAACTATCACATTTGTCTTTTCATTTTTCCTGAAAACAGATGTCACACTGTCCTCTTTTTGCTGAGGAAATGTCCATGTTGTAGGAAGAAGGCTAGGAAATTTGCTTGAGAGGAGGAATTCTGTGGCTGCAGTAGGAGGAGCCCCATTATTACCTGCTGCCTGAGGAGTGGGTACTTCTGGCACAGGGAATGGAGAGGTATGATCCTCTGTGAGCTGGGGGGCAGTGAGGAAGGGAAGATCACCTGTTTCATTCCATGGTGATGCAGGAAGTGCCCCAGAAAGGACAGCTTGCCCTTGAGCCGGTGGGATGAAAGGGAGAGGAGGACGCACCAAAGAGGAAGAAGGTTTGTGTTCTGGTGAAAGGGCGGACCCTCTGGAACTCTCTGGAGCTGCTGACAAATGTGGTGGGTTAGCAGAATCATTTGCAGGAGTGGCAGGGCCTAGCTCTCTGCTTGTCATTGCTACAACCACTGATTCTGCAGTCTGGAAAGGTGAAGGATGAGCCTCATGGCTCACTGCTGCTGTGCTCTTAGAAGTCTGCAAAGACACCCCATTGTGCAATCTTTCAGGCCCCGCAGTGTGGACTGGCTGAGTGAATGCAGAATTTGAAGCCATTTCCAACATGGATCGTGAGGATATTCTACCTGGAAGTTGAAAAAGACCTCCAGAGACTAGGGGAGGGAAGGACAGAAGGGCCAGTTCTGCCGTGGAGCTCAAAACTCCTGATGTGGGTGAGCCTGCTGAATGGGGAGCCTCTGATGGAGACAGTTTAGAGTACTGCTTTGTTGAGGATCCAGAAAGACCTAGATGAGGGATGCCTATGAAATCCTGAGCATTTGGGGGTTGAGTGTGGTTTGTTTTGTCAGAAAATGGTTTTAGGGCATTTGCCAGGTTCTGACCTGAAGAGGAATCAGCTGGTGTTCTTTGGGGCAACAAAGGTACATTGGCGGGTTGCTCTACTGTCTTAGGAAAGGAGATGGAACGGGGTGAACCAGAGACCGATGAAGAGGATGAAGGTAGAGGAAGAAATGGGAGACCATCTGACCTTGTGGGATGCTCTGAAAGGGAGGGAGTCCTTACCCATGACTGATATGAAGGGACAGTGCTCAAGGGTGCCAATGGGACTGTGGACAATGGGGGGTGCATGCTGGTATGAAGCAAACCTGACATGTCTGCTGTTTCTCTTTCCCCTTGAGGCCTTGGTTGGACCTGGGACTCAGTGGAATCCTTCCAAGGATCCAGGGAGGCGCTGTGTCCACTTCCTTGGTAAAGAGAAGAGAGGTCCACGTGAGCCCCGGCCCTGCGGTGCACCTTGAGTGGAGGCGTCCCGGCCAACTGCAGCAAGCTTGTATTGTCCAGGGAATGTCCAAGCACATTTATGATTCTGTCTGCTGCCGAGGAAGACTTGACTTCCAAGAAAGGCCATGTTGGTGAAATTGGTAACAACTTCCCGTGAGGAAATGACTCTGAGGTTGGGGTGACACGTAGCTGTAGATTGTCTCTCCCTGTGAAACAAAGTATCTGCAGTGAGGCTTGGGGATCAGGATGCATGTGCAACAGGGAGGTGCTAGAGATGAAGAGGGGGCAGGACAGGTCCTGCGGGGCCACAGAGCACTTTCATCCATCACAGGAGACTCAAGAAACAATTCAAACAATGAATTAAATAATTGCAAGTATGCAAATGCTGCAGCTAACCCACAGAGCAGACCGGTAAGAAGTAGTTTCCAATGAAGGGATGTTTAGGCAAAGATGTGGAGGATTCCCAAGAAATCAAAACAAACTTTTTGTACCACTGGCAAGACTTAGATTGTAAAACTCACAACCTAATCAAAATCTTTGATTTTCAAAGATGAATGTGGTTACCTGTCATGGCCAATAACACCAAAATAAAACTCATCCAAGAATCCAAGATGCAGACACTCTTGAAGAAGGACTGTGCATCGAGCATGAATCTTTCTCCAGGTCCCTATGGCACTCTTAAGAGAAATATCTGAGATAGCCTAGGCTTAGAAAGATGGCTCCGATGAAACATATTTCTCTTCTTGGATCTGAAAGGATTCCTGATGTTATCGTTCATACCATGTCAAGTAGTAGCAAAGGAGAGTTCTTTCAGATTAGGTTATTTCAGAAAGAAAAATGATTAACATCCAAGCTAGAACAGGCAACACCTCTCAGAAGGCCTGGTGTCACTACGAGCACCCGCAGAGACCAGAGCTGTCAGCACTGATGTGCAAAACACGGCAGGGAGGCCAGGAGGCAAGGCTCAGAGCAGAGCAGCAGACAAAATAACCAAGAAGCTGTGGACATGATGCTTCCTGCTGGATAACTCCTCTCTTCCTGGTTCCTTAGGGTTGATTCAGGTGCAGAGGGGGTTAAATGTTCTTAACTAACATTTTAAACTAAAAATAAGAAGAAAGGAGAGGAACTTCTTGAGTTTTCTATATTGTTACTAAAAACATCAGAGCCATCTGGTAGAAACAATCAAGTCAAGAGGTAAAACCAGAAGCTCTGGGTTTGCGCCTAACTTTGGCTACTTGGAGCTCTGTGTGCGTCTCTGGACAGCGGGGGCAATGAGCAACCTAATGGCCCTACCAGGCCCTTGTGAGAAACAAATGAAGTTATGGAAACAGAAGGATGGGCTCTCTGATCTGAAAGGCAGTAATCAAGTGAGCTGTGATTTCAAGCCCTAAGCCCTATGTTGGTTTAATGAAAGAAGACACTGTGGCCCAGAGAGGGGACACCCTTTGCCGGAAGCCACAATACTGATCGGGGACAGAAGCAGGTTCAGATGTGAAGGCTCCTCGCTCCCAATTCTGAGGCCAGTTCCTAGTCTTCACTCCACCACCATCGTATTCTGCTGATCAAACCAGCAAACAACTAAAGCTAAAGTCTTACAATACCGGGCTTTGGGATCAAGCAACATTAGCTGCAGTCACCAAAGCTAAACAGTAAGTTTTTGAATTCGTTTTTTTTTTTTTTTCAATTTCTTTTTGTAAGACTTAGAAAAGTAAGGGCAGAGGGTGTTTCACTCTACATTAGAAAGCACATGAAAAATTTTCCTTTCTGACTCTTCATTTTGTTTTTGAATTTTCCTATTCCTGGGATTTAGCCAAGAAATTGGCCTCAAGTCATTTTAGAATGCATCGGGGTATAAGCCAGTACTATACCCATCCTTGGTGGGCTTGTATTATACCAGCCATTCTGGGCATGCCATCTTCTTGACCCCTTCTAACTAGAATCATTAGTGCCACACATGTAGAGCCCAAAGCTCCCCCCACCCTAGTCTCTGCTAGCCAAACCCATCTTAAATGGAAATCAGTATGCAGAGCTCCAAGACCCCTGTGCCTATCTAGCACTGGTGCTTCATGGTTTTCAGTGGAAATCAGCTTCAGCGTTGCTTCATGCAGCCTAAAGAGGCCTCACCCCTGGCCAGTTGCAATTTTACAGGGAAGGCAGATACTGCATTTGTACCTTTAGCCTTACTACTCTTGTTGCTACCTCCCGACAGCCCCAGCTTCATACTCGGCAAGCATTCATGTCTGGTTATGTGCATGGGTGAATATAATTTCCAGAGAAGGTACTTTTGCAATTTGGTATTAGGTTTCCACTTAGCCTTTGCAACCCATTTTTATGACTTGGTTGTCAAGTGAAATTTATGTAGGATTTCTTCTCTTGGACTTTCATTGAAATAGATTCAACGGTGGGCTGAACGCACATATTCAAGAGTCAAAATAAAATTCATCTCATTTCATACAGGTAACCTTGAAACTCAAAATTGTTGCGATAGGCCAGAGTTTTTATTTTCAGCAAGATATTTCACAAACTCTTTCATAAAAATCTTGCAAACTGGATAGAGGAATAGGTATTGGATAGTAAGTAATATGCAGGTGATTTATAACTGAGTGACCTCAGAATGTAGTGATTTAGAAAAAGTCAATGATGTACATAAAGTTGGGGAAGAAGCATGTTCATTGAATGAGAAAATGATACCAAAATCAAAAGAACGACTGGTTTGAAGGGTTTTGGAGAAAAGTATTTCATAGTTGTGTCTACTGCCTGAAATTACTGATAAAGGAAGACACAGATCAGGATTCAACATAAGGAATGGCCCTTGGTCCAAATATTTCTTATACAGGGACAGGGTATGCTTACTCTCTCTGTAGCTAGAGCTGACTGCAATTCATAATGATCTAGAAGAAAAATACAGGATAGCAAGGAAATGACAAAATCTTAGCTTCATTGAAATTTTCTTCTTTCTTAAACCAGAAAAATATTTCACACTTAGAAAATAATATCTATATGAAAGGTATAAATTATAAATAATGAAATGAATACTCATTACCTATCACTCAGCTCAAAAACAGAGCCTGTATTTCTAGAGCCCTCTTCCTGGTTTCTTTCTGGTTCTTTGCTTCTTTCTCCCAGAAATAACCGCCATTATAGGTTGCATTTTAAAAATTAGGTTTTTTTTTTTTTTAAATGGTACTGGAGTTTGAACTCGGGACCTCAAGCTTGCTAGGCAAGCACTCTACCACTTGAGCCATGGGACATCTCAGTCCTTTTGTGTTTAGTTTGTGTTCCAGGGAGGGTCTCATACTTTTGTCCAGGCTGACCTAGAACCACAATCCTCCTACCTTTGTCTAGTAGCTGGGATTACAGGAAAAATCCATGCCTGGTTAATGAGTTGATTTTTAAGAAGGTGAAGTCCACTGTTTTCTGTATTGCCCACAGTATACCTAGTCAGCAAAGATGAATTCTAGAATCACATTAAGAAACTTATACATGCCTGGGAACAGTGGGAAGCTAGAAGATTAGACTTTGAACATTTCTGCCTGAAGAAATGATAAATGTTTGAGAAGCTAGATATGTTTAACCTGATTTAAGCATTATGCAATAGATATTTATAGCAGAACATGACATGACATCCAATTAATATGTACAACTTTTATGTCTGAACTAAAAAGAAATTTTAAAAGCAGATATATGCTAGTACATGATCTTGATGGAGATATTTTACATTATAAAGAGGAAGCCAATCCTAAAGAGGGGCCCAGTCTACTCTGGAGTGAGATTCTTGGCAGGCCTAGCATGCTAAAGTGTCAACTTAAGCATTTCTACTGAAATATGTAGAGAAAAGTACTTGCTTATGAAGGTAAACATGCATTCTTGAGTAAAATACAAAATATACATTTCTGTATATTTCTGTAGAGCCTTCAAAGGCATGTTGGCAAGTCATGCCCTAGTGGCTCCCATCTCTAATCCTACCTGCTTGGGAGGATTGTGGTTTGAGGCCCGCTGGGGCAAACAGTTCATGAGTCCCATCTCCAAAAAAGATAAGCAGAGCAAAAAGGACTGGAGATGTGGCTCAAGTGGCAGAGTGCCTGCTCTGCAAGCTTGAAACCCTGGGTTCAAATCTCAGTCACACCAAAAAAAAAAAAAAAGACATGTTGACAAATGTTTGCATCTGACATTGACCCTGGGGGGTCAGTTTACCCTCCTCTGCTGTGAAGGTTGTTATGCAATTAAAACATTTTGAAAGACTGATGAATGGGGACCAGAATCTCCCTAAAACATGTGGTAAAAGGGTTGGGTGTGTTATTTAGCAAGAGAACCACAGCCAAGGGGAAGAAGTTACAGCGAAAGAGATTATAGCTTAGTAATAAAAGAGAGACTTACCTACTTTCTAAAACTATGCTAACAGAATGTGCTGGCTTAAGTTAGTGAGTTCGTCACCTCCAGAAGTACCCAAAGGTGCAAATTTTAGAGTAATCTATCCCAACTCCATCTCTCCCTTCCTTCTTTCCTGTCTTCCTTCCTTTCCTCCTTTTCTTCTGTCCGTCTGCAAATGTCTGCTGTATTCCAGACACTTGGTTAAGCAATGTCCTAAGGAAAAAAACATAGGTGGTCTCTGGCTTCATGGAACTTACAGGTCTATGGGAGATACGAATGTAAAGCAAATATTCTCACATGTATAAAAATGATGAGTTATAGAGGAAAGATGCACAGTCCTTAAGAGCACACAAAAGAAGAATGTAACTTGATCAAGGAAGTGAGAAGGCACATTGCTGAGGAAGTGACTATTGA